AGAGAGAGAGAGAGAGAGAGAGAGAGAGAGAGAGAGAGAGAGAGAGAGAGAGAGAGAGAGAGAGGCATGAGGTTCTGTGCTGGCAATCGTGTTTGGTGATCACTGTGACTGCATCGATGCAAAACATTGCCGGCAAACACGAGCAAAGTGGGGAGAAAGCATGGCCACGTTAATATTTTTTAAGCGGACTCGTCTAATTGATGTTATCGCTCTTTCTGTTGCTGGTCCTTAAAGCTTTGATGCAGTGTTTTTGCATTGATTGGTGGAAGACTGTGAGAGTGATTGGGGTTCTTTTGCAAAACCTCAAAATCTGAACATGCCTAGCCTTGGCCCGCTATGCACACACTTGCTATCATCAATTCCCTCTTCGTAGCCTTATTTAGTGCCCGCTTTTACATAGCTCTTTCTCGTGTTGTTACAGCAAAGCATTATTTTGATGGAGAATGTTTTCCTTAATGTCTATCCCACAGTGGGGTGTCTCCCTGTTATGGCCCTAAAATTGTCGAATGGACTACTGTGTTGGTCCTTGGAGGCTTCTTGTTGGAACCAAAGAGAACCACTGCATGTTTGCAGAGTCCTTCCTGAACTCAGTCTTCCTGAATGTATCTGACTGGAGTTGGCAGATGCAGTATCAAAGACGACATCATCAGTACACTGCTTGAACAGCTTTTTCTTAGTCTTTTTCTTTTGTTCAAGGGGATAGCCCTCACCATAATTGTATCCAGCTGATGCCGGCCACACCCGCCCAGGGAAAGCGGATGGGTCAAAAAAGGGGCAAAGATGCGAAAACGCTGAAAAGGCAAAATTCTCACTTCAGGCCTGAGCAGTCAGAATCCATCTTCCTCTTCGAATTTGATGATGGGTCATCCAGAGGGGTCCCGAGGGGGGGGGTAGAGAGTGTTCAAAGGAGTAAATTCTAAACTATCAGTACGTTTCTGAGCCATTTTTTCAAAGTTGTGGCTTGCATACTGCCACAACTTTCGGGGGTCAGCAGTCGGAGCAGAACGACTGAATGCGCCAGCCAAAATGAGGCCCGTGCTGTTTTTTTTTTTTTTTTTTTTGGCGCGCAGGGCGTTTCAGGCCCTGGGCAAAAGTGCCTCGGAAGTACTGGTGGTTTAACTGCCGTTTTGAACACTGTTAATCTCACTTTTGTCTTGGGAATTCGTAAGGCAAAAGTTGCCTGTATTGCTATTTTACACAGGGTTCCTTTTTGTAGATTTTTTGTTGTTATTTAACTGCTTGTAGTTCGGGCCGCTTGAGAACAGCACAGTATCCAGCAAATTTCATCAGGATGGACTCAGGATCTGTTGATTAATCATATGGGCAGGTGCTGCTTGATCATATCTGTCAGGTTCTAACTTTGGGAACCTGGTGAAATTCTGATTGCAGAGGTTCTATCATGGTGCTGAAGTGAAGCGTTGGGGGATCGTTGATTTTGGCCGATATGCAAACCGTCGTATTAATGGACAACTGCAAGCAGAAGTCTTTGGGAGAGCACTCGTACGGCGGTGCCAAGAGCTAGGGATGGTAGGTAAAAGAGGAGCAATGGAGAAGAGGGGAACAGATGCAATGACTTTTCTGAAAACTTTGTTTGGTATTGGGTTTGGATGCCTTGATCATCTCTCTGCGGTCTTGCTCTTTCTTTTTTCTCGTTTGCAGATGCGACCATGAAATCAAACGTTTGGAGGCCATCAAGGCTGACCCTCAAATACACTTTACGATAGACAAACAGGGCCATGCATTTTAAAAATAACAAGTTGTATAGAGTCTTCTTTCAAGAACAAGTACACCAGTCTATACTAAAAAACTCTTTATGATTTAAGATCTGGGTAATCTCATAAAATAACACTTGTATATATCGAGTTTGTAATGCTACTTCACAATTACAAAGTGTTCTACAGCTAAAGAGTAAGCATGTTCCTGTGCCATCACAGAAACATAATCTAATTGATCAAAATAAGGCAAAGCTTGTAGATGGGTTTTATATTTTTCCATGTATAAAAGAGAGTTCTGTGGATGTCTGGTTGTGAGAACTTGTGACAATGCGTATCAACAGTAAATGATAACCATGTGGATATCTGTACACTGACTGTGGGACGTTTGCTTGCAAATGTGACAGAGTGCATCCCTGGTAAATGATCACCACATTTGTACACACGTTGCACACACGCATTCTAACTACTTGGGCGAATATCCGCACGAGTTGCCAAGTTCTGAAACCAAATGGTAGAAAGCATGTTTTGGTACAAAGACATCGTTGTTTATATCAGGTAGATTTCCTGTTAGTCCAGAACCAGTTTTTCCACAAGGTTGTACTAATCAGCATGACACTGGAGATAAGGAATAGAAAGGATCAGGGGGGTCCATCCCCGCCCTCGAATGTTTGGGGCGTTTGAAACCCCTGGAGTTTGAGGGGTTCGGGGCCCGCCAAAATGGACTTTTTTTTTTTTGTTTTTTCTGCCAATTCCCCTGCTGAGCCTGCTCATGAGCTATACTCCTGCTAAATTTCATGGTTTTCTGATGAACAAAAGAAAGAAAAAAAACTGAAAATCACTGTAGAAGGGGGGGGTCAAATGATTTGGGTACCCCCCCTGCCTCCCCCCCCTTCCCTCTTTTTAATTGCCTTTTGTTTTCCCCCTTTTTTTTTTTTTTTTCGTTCCTTCATCAGCCAATCAGTCAATCACGAATCAATCACACACAGTTCAACCTCCTGATGAGTTGGTGAAAGCCCAACGAAACAGTCTGGCACAGTCATGCTTTTTTTTACGGAGTTGTGTATAGCGAACATTACAACAAACACACAAGAGTAGTCTGATCCAGCAGTGAGTATTAAGAACCCTGTGAAGTTCATCATTCCACTGTTCTGTTCTTTGCCTCTCCATTTCCCTCCTCTACCCCCCCCCCCCCCCCCCTGCCCCCCGCTTCCTATACCCCTTTCCTACCTCCCGCCACTTGTGTACTACCAGTAAGTGCATACAAATGAGCATGATTAAGAGAGCAGATAAAATATAAGCCGAACACTTGAAGAAAAATGAACAGGAGTATACCTCCCCCTTTACCCTGCCTCCTTTCATAATTTAAGTGTGCTGTTGAGGCGCACGGGGATGTTGGCAGCTGGCAGTAAACCACAATCAACGCGGCCAGCCTTGAACTTGAGAGGCACAGTAAAAAGGGGAGCTGCAAGAACACAGAAAAGTGTTACCCCTCATCTCCCCTTCCAGAGCAACCCCTTCAACTGCTCCTCTGGACTAACTTACCCTCTAACTTCGGCAAATCAGAGAAAGTCTGGTTCGGGATGGTGCGCGAGTTCACGCTATGGGCGATATGGAAGGAGCGATGCAGCAGAACACTGGAGGGTACGAAGAACCCACGGGAGAAAGTGTGGGCGGCAACCAAAGTGCAAGGAAAATGAACAGAAGCGAGATGATAATATTCAGATTGCACAATCACATTGAAAGCCAAATCGTAACACACTGCTCAGGAAGCAGCATTGCACCACTATAACACCAATGGAGAATCGTAGCACTGTAAGTCAATGTCAATGAGAGCTTGCTCTCACCACCACCAACATATGTATCCAGTCTCTGTCTCCCTACTTGGCGCTCGGCGCTCAGCCTACTCCATACACAGCTACTACTAGCCTACTAATTGACAATGCAACTGTTGACGTCATCATCATCATCATCATCCTCTCTCGCCCTTGACTCTCTCCCACGTCTCCCTTTGTTGTACATCCGAAGACCACCCCTGCGCCTCAATGTACCCTCAGCAGCGCCCTGCTCCCTGCACGACGGCACGTGCCTGCACCTCGCTGCTCAGCGCTAGCAGCAGCCCACGAGCTTCAGCTCCAGCAGCTCTGCCGCCAGCATGCGAGTGCCCGAATGACTGGCCAGGCAGAAAGCTCTTTCCTATATGGAAAGAGCCTGCCTCGTTCGGCAGCCTGCTGGACTGGCCTGGGCCCAGAAGCTTCCGGTAGGCCCCAGGATTCTGCGCCTCTGGTGCAGCTACTGGGCCTCATTCGGTTGGGCCTCCTAACTGTCTGTGTATGAGGCTGCGAATCTCGCCCAGGGCCTGTACTTTTGGAAAGGCCTAGAAGGCCTGGGAATTTCCACACTGCTCGGCCTGTGTTTCCCTTCAACCAAGTGGCACGACGAAACTGCCTGGACCCCAAATGCGAAATTGACACCCAAGGGCCTCTCGTGATTTGTTAGGCCCGCCTTCACTTAGGGCGGGCACATATGCTGCAGGGGGCCCCTTAGGCCTGCCGAGGACCCATATCGTCGCATTCCCTCCTCCTGTACTTCGATAGTCCTCTGAGAAGTTTTCTATTCTGCAGGCAGGGCTACGATCAGAATTTCGATGCCTGGGCCCAGGCCCAGACATTGGAAGAGTTCGTACGGTCCGTGTACAATAAGGGGCATGACCCTCAAGGTGCCCAAAAGGCCACAGACACAATCAACAGTCTTTGTGCCAGAAGGTACAAGAATGTTAGAGAGCTTACAAATACCGTAGAACGTCTGCTCGTAGTACCTGGTGTGCGCTATGACCAGCAGGTACTCCTTACGGATTACCTTAGATGTCTGCCTTCAGCGGTTAGGACAAAGCTGGTAGACGAGGCCTATGTCGAACAGCACAAGTTCGCTTCATTTAGCAAGAAGGCCTTAGACATAGCGGCAAAATTGGCATTTGCGCATAAGAGTCGGGGAGATGGTAGGAAGAAGAGACTTCCCCAAGACTGGAAGGAGAAGGGTCAGTTAATGTTCGTTGACCACGATGGTCAAACGATGGAGATTGACGAGTTCCCAGATCTAGGGGATGCGACAGAGCATGATGGGGCCAGCGAGACTTCGGATGGGGGATTCATGGCACCCATCAAAGAAAGGTTAGGGGAACCGGGAAGAAGAAGGTAGACTGGTCTATGGGTCAGGGCAACCAAGGCACGCCCGCTTGGGTGAAACTTGGTTTAGAGTATAAGGTGTGGAGGGACCGAGTCGCTAGGGGCACGTGCATGAACTGTGGCGACTATGGCCACACATCCCGAACGTGCCGACGCAAGAAAGTCCTAACGAGGGTAGCCTCTCCAACGGTGGTGGGACTATCTTCGAACCCTGGTGGTGCTTCTGCGAGCACTTCGCAGGGAAACACCTCGGGCCAGTAGGAGTTTTAGCCGCTCTTACTCGCGCTGAAGTGGTAACGTTGCCTTCCTCACTTCAGGCATTGGCCAAGGCTAGTGACCCACGTATCGCCCCGCAGACACGTTTAGACCCACCAACGCTCTGTTCGAGAGATGTGTCTGAGGCCCTAGAAGAGTTAGAGACGGAGTGGTAGGGAAGGACCCCACAGACTCTTGAGCGATGATCAGTAGAGGTCCAAAAGGTGAACATTTCATGGTAGAGGTTGATGTAGGTGGTGCCGCAAAGTTGGCACCTTCGCAGACATAGGCTCTACACGAAACTTCGCCGTCGTGCTTGTGTGGATAGATTGTGCTTAGGGGACCGAGTGCAGCGGCTTAGCAGGACTGTGGTTTCTACGCTAACCAACAAGCACCAAATTATCGTTAAAGACTATATTAAGGACGTAGTCTGATCCTTCTCTTATGGAGGAGGGGAAGTGAGACATAAAATCTCATTCCTCGCCAGCGACGAACTGCCCTTCGATATGCTACTAGGCATGTACTACCTCGAGGTCGCGCAACCTCACTTTGATTGGGATAGGAAGGTGTTGATACACAAGTTGCCAAATGGTAGGACCGTTAGACTGCAGAAGTATAAGGCTAGCTGTCTAGCGGAGAACTACGGTTGCATGTGTGCTTCCTCTTTCTACAACTACTACAAGCAGAATCGCGAGGAGGGCATGTATCTAGTCTTTGTCTTTGAGAAAGGGGAGGCCGTTAAAACACCCCCAAAGATAGAATCAGTCGTCGCACAATATTCCGACCTTTTTTAGGAGCCCACAAGCGTGGTAGAGAGGGAGGTGGTCCATGCAATAATGGTTGTCCCAGGTAGTAAGGTACCTAGAGGACGAATCTATAGGATGTCTCCTGCAGAGTTGGATGAGCTCCGCCGCCAGCTCAAGGAGCTCACTGAAAAAGGGATGGATTCGGCCTAGTACCTCCCCTTACAATGCGCCAGTCTTATTTATCCCAAAGAAGGGAGGTACCTTGAGGATGTGCATTGACTATAGGGGCCTCAATGCCATCACCGTAAAGAACGCGGAGCCCCTACCCCGCATCGACGACCTCTTGGATAGAGTGTAGGGATATCGGTACTTCACTAAGATAGATCTGAAGTCCGGATACCATCAAATTGCCATTAGACTTGAGGATCAGCACAAAACCGCATTTCAGACCAAGTACGGTCTGTACGAGTTTGTGGTGATGCCCTTTGGCCTATGCAATGCACCTGGTACATTCCAACATGCGATGATCAGGATATTTCATGATTACTTAGACGCCAAGTTTATCGTCGTACCTCGACGATATTCTTATCTTTAGTAGGACTATAGAGGAGCACGCTGAGCACTTGAAA